CCGCTTGTAAGAAGCGAACACGATGACATTCGTACCGGGGCCCGAGAAAACGAGTCGGGCTACATGGAAGCCTACACGAGCGAACGGACGATTCGGAATCAGATGTTATCTTTGACGAGGGCTGCCGCTGGTGGGGGGAAGCCGGGGGCCCTTTCTCGGTGCCCCGCGCCAAGATACGGATCTTCTTGGCGCCACCGTCTCCCGGGCCCTTCGCCACAGGGCCATGCAAGTAGCGATGGCTCCATTTCTCTATTTTTCGATCTCGCAAACTTTCATGTAGTTTAATTGCGCCTCGGCTGGATTAGCTGCCTCATGTTTATCATTATTATTAGCGATAAAATAATTCTTAAGACGTATTTTCTTCTTTCTTTTTTAATTTTTATAGCATCCTTTAGATTCAAATATTTGTCAAAATTTAGGGCTAACTGAAACTAAAAATAGAAAATTTGAAATTAAATTTTTATCATTCTGTGATAATTTCTTTAATCCCAAATTCTTTTAACAATAGAAAATTAAGAGTAAAAATGATCCAAAAGACGTAATAGTATTAAAATTTTTATATTTCTTCCTGTAAAAAAGGAAATATTAAAATATAATTGATCATGTTATTACATTAGTTTAAAAAAAGTAGTTTAAAAAAATAAAGTTTTGCAAGTAGTGTATGCATGTATTCATACAATTCTCACCTCTACAACAGTCTATAGATACACATTCTATATCTTTCCCTTCTTTCAGCATCTTGTATTATCCATAAACGATCATTTCCCACATTCCACTAACGGTTAAAAACAAAAAGAACTCGATGATTCGTTGCTTCTTCAATCCATCACTACAACAATCGGGTTGCTGTCACGGTCTCAAAAAGCCGGCATTCGAGAGCCCTAAACGCGGTTTAAGCGTAACCGATACCCCAGCAGGGGGCCCGACATCGGTCCTCTTTGCGTCCTCTGTCGAAAATTCGTTTCGACGATTGACAACAACACTGTACGAAAGAACGATGAGGAACGACCGGCTAAACGAATGGTTTTCCTTTCCCCGATTCCTCGCGTTCGTTATCATGGGCACGCGAGTTGTCTGTAACCTGGTATTGAGGAACCGATCAAATATTTCGACTGAATTTATTTACCAACACAGTACTTGAATCGTATCCTGATGTTAATTCATTTGGACAATTGTAATTATTATCTTTCTGCGTGAAACAGTCAATTGGCCATTCAGAAATCGTGCTTTTCACACAAAAGCAGATAATAGTTTTTTCTTGATGGCAGGAGAATTAAAATAAAATCTAAAAAATATTTATTTAAGTTTAGAAATAATTTATATGTTTATAGAAATGATTATAAATTAATTTTAGAAATATTGAAAATTTGTCGCAGTAATACTCACCTAAAAAAACATGAAGTAAATAATATATTACTCTATCATTTTTATTATAATTAAAAATAATTTTTGATAATTAAATATATTTTCTTTTTGTTATTTTCTGCTATGCAAAAATCAAGAACATTTAATTAAATTGTTTGAGATATATATTCAATGTTAATAAATTATGTTTTTGATTATTTAAACTCTATATTTACTTACTTTCATGATTGAAGTACAAATATAGTATAGGACTATATTGATAGTTATATATACTTTCTTCTATTTCGAAATTATAGGAATTACAAGAATAGTAAGCATGATTATTTGATTCCGATAAATAATATATCTCACTCTGGTAAAGATAGTAATCTTCAGTACCTAAAAAAAAAAAGAATACGATATTGAATTAAAATTGTTAAAAGCATCAGAAAAATTGAAGAATAAAGGACACTTCACAAATCGAGGTTGCTGCTAAAAGCTCGAGCAGACGAAATTTTAATAAACGCATCTAATGCTGCAGTGGTTCGAACAATAGAATATTGCACGTACAGTATGCATCGGCATGGTTAAACAGATATGGCGTATAATTTAGTAACAGGGGCCGGGGATTCCATGCAAATATCGAGAACAATGAAACGACGAGGCTCGCATTAATTAAGTCGTAAGCAGAATAGGAGACGTTCTTCGATTCGTTGATCGAGCATCGTCATCGCTCGCTACGGCTCGCGAGGAGAGCCGAGTTAATTGGCTCTCTAACCAAATAATTGACAGTAAGTAGGAAATGAGAAGTTATTCCTCGTAGGAGTTGTTTGTCGTCTCCCACTTTTCTTTCCTTGTCGCTATCGCGAATCAACTCCGGTGAATTAACGAGCGAACGTCGTAATTAACCACCGTCAGGGAATCAGTGTCTCCGCTGCTCGTCGTTGTTGAAAACTTCTTAGAATTCATCGAGTTCAGCTGATTCTAACTATCATTCAATGAATATTAGATGTTTCTTAGATCTTCTCCAATATGCTCAATCATGGCTACCTTTTATCTCTTTCCCAATTATCTTTTATCGAGATAAACGAATCACTCAAGGGAAAGGAAACTTGGTCACGCGAAAAACAGGATTTACAGGGATCTATAATTAATAGATAATCTCTTCAAACTTGTTCTCTGCCTGAATGGGAAACTACGACAAATATTGTCGCAATAAGCTTATCTCTGGGATTTTCCTAGTTCTCCTAGTGAATGGAATCCTTTTGGTATTGCATAGAACCATTCCTTCGGTATAATCTTGCTAAACTAGATTCACAGTGAACAAGATAAAAAGAAAGAGAGACAAATCCTAAGTCTCTTCGGTTTAAGTGTTATAAATAGCATATAATATATAATAAAGCTGTTGTTTACAATATTAAGAGTTTGTCTTGAAATGGATACTTCAAGAATATCACTAATCAATCTTGTTTCAAAATAGTTTCTTTTTGTGTTTCTGTATCTTATAATCAAAAACAAATAAAAGGATATTATAATTAATAAGAAAAATAAGTGCCATAATAATTACAGAAAAAAAAACTGATTCATCTAAAGTGACTAAGAAAACCAATTTAAATAAGATGACATTATAAATATTTTCTGCCATGGATTGATTCTTGTCAAAATGTCAAAATCTTCGCTTTAATAAAAATATTGGAAGCACGAATACTTTTGGAAAGTGCGTCAACTGATATCGTACATTGATCGTGCGAATAACAATGTTTTTATATCTTTTCTTTTGGCTAAAAAGATCATCGTTCTCAAAAGATTTGCCATTCGTCACTTTCGTCGTGTTCTCGACTCCTGAAACAGTGAAAAAGTCAATCTATGTCTAGATGTGGCTCGATAATGAAAAAGAAAAGAAACTTTAAAGACTATATTCTTGTACATAATTCTTTATCAAGAAAATTCTACTTCATTAAAAAGATTCGATAATATTCGAGTCTCGATTATAAAACTTTTCCATCAATAAAAGCAAGAAAAATCTAATAATATATACGTTCAAGATTATCAATTGCAAAATGTATTGCTGCTTCCTTAACATGCATCGACAGCAACAGTCGAAACGTAAATTCGCTCATTTGTACTTGCAACACTCGTGCAAGATCGCTGGCGTAAAAGGCTCGCTCGCACCATTCCGAATGTCCGGCGTCCTTTATATCGAGGCGGCAGAAAAGGTAATTTGCAGATTCCAGCGAACAGGTTTCAACCGAACACACAGTCGGGGTGCTAATTTGTCCCGACGCGGAGATAAGGATCTGGCAAAAAGGTTCAACACAAAACGAAGCAATTAAAATGATAATGCGGCCAGCCAGGAGACATCTTTTATTAACGCTCTAACGTAATTCTATGAGAATCATCGCCAATTTCATGGCAGAATTTTAATCGTAAACAATTTTGTTAAAACTGATGCAAGTATCTAATCCAACGATTAAACTTATATTATTCTTGCTGCCGATAAACAATATTAATATTTCATAATACTATCATCTATATATCTCTTCTGAAATTCCTCATCTTTTCTAAACATTCAATACTTCTAATCAAGTTATATAACTTAAAACACAACTGTTGATTCTCATCTCCTTAACAGTTACCTTCTTCTCCATTTTTCATCGTTTTCGAATTTCTTTCAAGTAATTTAGAAACACATTTACACATTGAATCGATTCATTCTTAAAATTCTTCAAGTTCTCTAATGCATCATACCTAAAAAAAAAAAAAAAAAAAAA